AAACAAAAGCAAAACAGAATTTGTGACAGAGACCAAGCGTTCCTACAAAGTCTAAAATACTGATTATCTGGGAGCAGCTGTGTGGCTCAGTCAGTTGAGTGACTGACTTCAGCTCAGGTCGTGAACTCGCAGTTCATGAGTTCAAGCCTCACATCAGGGTCAGCATGGAGCTCACTTAAGATCCTCTGTTCCCCACTCCTTCTTCCCCTCCCCCCCAAAATAAAATAAACATTTTTAAATAATAATAAAAATATTGATTATCCGTGTAAGAATAAAGTGTAAGACGGACGCCTGGGTGGCTCAGTTGGTTGGACATCAGACTTTGGCTAAGGTCATGGGTTCCCCCCCCCCCCCCCCCCCCCCGTACTCCCTAACCTGGCTAATACCATCACCATCTATCTACTGGGTCTCCTAAGCTGGAAACTTTACCATCCTCCATTCCTTCCTTCCTCTCACTCTTATTTCCAGGCAGTCACACATCCCTAGTGGTTCCCTCTAAATGACATTTGCAGCCTAGTCTCACCTCTCTATTCCTCCCGCCTTTGTTCTCCTTCCCCTGGGCCTAGACAATTGTCAGGTCCTTTCCTTGCCTCTAAACCAGCCCTATACAACCTATCCTTTACTCTGCTACTAGGATTATCCTGCTAAAAAATTACATGCTTGTTTCTTATCTGCTTTTCTAGTTGCCTACAAGGTAAAACCCCAAACCCCTTAGCAGATCATGTGAGGCCCTAGCCCCACATTATTCCACCCGCCTTGTCATGATGTTCCTCAACACTTCAGCCATGAACTGCTTAAGAGTTTCCTAAATGTGCTGGAGATTTCATGCTTCTGTGCCTTTCCATGTGGAATGCCTTCCCTCATCATCCTTAGCCCTGCAAAGTGCCATTCCTTCTTCCAGACATAGCTCAAATGGCATGTGCTGGTTGACACCTTCCCTCACTCCTGCAGGTGCCAGGAACTTGCTTCCTCTTCCAGCCTCCTCCACGTCTGGTATTCCTTTGCTACCACATCTGTAACTCCAATAAGTATCAAAATTTACAGTTCCCCACAACTCAGGTGTGGGTCTTGTCTTCTTTATTGCTCTAAAATAGAACTTTACCTATGTCTCATGCTCCCATGTCTGCAGATGTGGAAACCTCTTGATGGTTCAAGATGAACTCAGTCATTTTCTGAGTTTTCTTAGTCCCTTTAGGGTTTAAACTCAGTTCCTGCAAGGTTTACCCACTCCTTCTCTTCTGAAAGTGCTTTAGATGATGGGACAAAGCATTTGTGGGGAGGATGGTTTGGTTCATGGTGTGCATCTATCTGTTCTCTGCCTCCTGATGTCCTCTGCTAGATAAGCCATCCTGGGCTTTGGTCATTAGCACCCTCCAGTGCTTAAATTCATGGTGCCCTTTGCTCTCAGTGTCTACATGGTGCACTCTGTTTTTCATGCTGAGGGAATTCCTTTCTAAACCATTGTCTGTGCCTATCCTACAACACAGGAAATTTTTGAGTGTGCACATCCTCCAAGCTGAAGTGAAAGGTCTTATGTAGTAGTCCTCACCTGTTCTGGACATCTTCCCCAGCCAGGCTGCCAGGCTGGGGGAGGAGGCTGTACCCAGTAGAGTCAGGTAATGGTTCCTTCTACTCTAGAAGTCCCCCGCCCCATTTTTCTGAGATTCTTGTTGTTCTGCCCCATCTCAACTCCCAGGGCTATTTTGAGGGAATGGGGCAGTGAAGTGAGCCCTTTCTCATCCCCAAGAGTTCTAGTCATGTCTTCTTGGATTCTTCTCTTCCTACCAGGTGAAAGGAAGAATTTTTATTTATTTTGAAGTGAGAAAACTATTCTAAGAATATCTTTCATCCTTCGCTCCTCTGTTATATATGGCATAAACTGCATGCTGTGAATTCCTGAGGTTTTTATTTATTTTTATTTATTTTTAAAGTTTATTTATTTTGAGAGAGACAGAGAGAGCATGAGTGTGGGAGGGGCAGAGAGAGAGGGAAAAAGAGAGAATCCAACCAGTCTTCACACTGCCAGCACAGAGCCTGACACAGGTCTCAAATTCCTGAAACCGTGAGATCATGACCTGAGGTGAAACAGAGAGTTGGATGCTTAACTGACTGAGCCACCCAGGTGCCCTGAATTCTTTAGGTTTTTAAATTTTTCGTTCAAAAAACCGTTTCCTCTCTCAGAAAACCTAACTTTCGAGACCACAGTCTCTGCTTTGATTAAAATTAATTATGTAGGATATAATTATATATATAATATGTATATTATACACACACAGACACACACACACACAAATACACACACACACACCTGACTTTATTCTAAGCTCTATCCCTTTTTCCCTGACGTAATAAGTAGCAAGAACTCAATGGGTGAAGGAACCAGGAGCAAGAGGAAACTCCCAGTAAAAAAACCTTTGATTTTTATCTCAAAATATTTGCTCTCCACATAAAATTGTGTTTACATGTGGGGAGTTCCCTTTGTGAATTGTTGAGAATAAGGATCATGTCTTAGTCATTTTTTGGAGCCCTAGAGCTGCACTGTTCAATTGGTGAACAGCCTCTAGCCACATGTGGCTCTGGGGCACTTCAAAAGTGGTTACACGTTCATAGCAGCACTCTCAACAATAGCTAAAACATGGAAAGAGCCTAAGTGTCCATCAACGGACGAATGGATCAAGAAGATGTGGTTTATCTATACCACGGACTACTACATGGCAATGAGAAAGAATGAAATCTGGCCACGTGTAGCAACGTGGATGGACCTTGAGGGTGTTATGCTGAGCGAAATAAGTCAGGCAGAGAAGGACAGATACCATATGTTTGCACGTATAGGAGGATTAGGAGGAACTTAACTGAGGAACAAGGGTGAGAAGAAGGGGGGAAATGGTGGGGGATAGGGAGAGAGGCAAACCATGAGACACTCTTGAATGCTGACAAAAACTGAGGACTGATGGATGTGGGGGGGAGGAGGGATGGGCATGGAGGAGGACACTTGTGGGGATGAGCACTGGGTGTTATGTGGAAACTAATTTGACAATAAACTATTTGTAAAAAAAAAAAAGTGGTTACACTAAATTGAGATGTTCTCTGAGTGTAAAACATATATTGATTTTATTTATTTATTTATATTTAATTTTTTAATGTTTTTTAATTTTTTTTTTTTTTGAGAGAGAGAGACAGAGTGAGAGCAGGGTAGGGGCAGAGAGAGAGGGAGACACAGAATCTGAAGCAGGCTCCAGGTTCTGAGCTGTTAGCACAGAGCCCAATGCAGGGTTCGAACCCATGGACCACGAGATCATGATCTGAGCCGAAGTCGGATGCTTAACTAACTGGGCCACCCAGACGCCCCAATATATACTGATTTTAAAGACCACTACCAAAGAAAAGAATGTAAAATATCTCCTTAATAATTTTTTATACTGATTACATGTTGAAATGATACCATACTGTATATAATAGATTGAATAAAAATCATTAGTTTTACCTGTTTGTTTTTACATTTTTATGTAGCTACTAGAAAATGTAATAGGACTAGAGAGAGAATACATATTAGTACCCAAATAGGCAATACGATTCAACAGATCATAATGATCTTTTTTTTTTTCTTTTATCAGACCCAAAATATGGAGTTGGTATATACTTCACCAAGAATCTGAAAAACCTAGCATCCCAGGTCAAGAAAACATCTACCACAGATGAGCTGATATATGTGTTTGAAGCTGAAGTACTCACAGGCTCCTTCTGTCAGGGTCGTCAGTTAAATATTGTCCCCCCACCATTGAGTCCTGGAAACATAGATAGCCATGATAGCATGGTTGACAATGTCTCCAGCCCTGAAATCTTCGTTATTTGTAATGGCACACAGGCTATGCCTCGATATTTGTGGACTTGCACCCAGGATCGTGTACAGCCACAGGACGACTCAGCAGGACCAATGATGCTGTCTTCACAGCAGCCTTGGGAAAGATTCTCAAGTGGTAGCTCTGTTGATTAGCCTCCACATCATTTTGACAACTGGCGTGACCTTACTTTGAGGGAGCTATCCAAATAATGACCATCAGTAAGTCAGAGTGGTTTGAATATGTCAAAGGGGTTGTCCCTATGGACTGATTGGGTTATTTAAGGGACCTGCCACATACTGGCATCTTAGTTCTTTCATCTTTGTCTTCATCTCTTGGGGTTGAGATGCATAGATCCCAACTAAAACACTCCCGGGACCATTCCCTCTCCTTCAAGTTGTCCTTTAATCTCTTTTACTATAGGTAACAACAAAAATGTTTTACATGTAATGAAGGGATTTTTCTATCATATAATTCAAGGCTTTTTAGTTTCTAAAATGATAGTGTAACAGCAGGATGCTTTTAGATTTTCCAGGTCACTTTATATAGTGTTTTAGATATTAAAATAAATCACCTTTGAGTAACTGGCTTTGAAAAGTTATATGTAACATGACATTATTTGTGGTGGAAGGACATCAAAAGGCTGATATTCTACTGATATCATATTTCGATTCACCATCTCAAGCAATGCCATTCAAGCATCATGAGGTCAAATGATTAATTCACCAAAATATTTCTTGATCACCAGACGTGTTTCATTTTCTGGGTGCTGGGGACATGACAGCAGACAAGACAAATATCTTCAGACAGCTTTGAGCCTGAATAGCCAGAAATGCAGCTCTATGATTGAGTATAATAAAAGAGGAATTACAGATTCTTTGGAAAAATTTAAGCAGGAGAGGAATAAGTTAATCAGGGGTTGGGAGGAAGGCCTTCTAAAGAAAGTGAAACTCAAGCTGAGACATGAAATATTTGTAAGAGTTAGGTGAAAGAGGAATGCAGCGAATCAGGAGCAGAGATGGAAGAATATGCAGAGTGAAAAGCTCTTATAAAGGTTGAATCCACTGTGACTGTGCCCAAATTTGACTTCAGAGTTCTGCAATGTAAAGGCCAGCTAATCTCACCATTTATCTCTTGCCTATTATGAAATCTGTATTTCTCTGTACTTCCAAAATTTCCTGACTCTCATATCCTTGCACAGAACATTTACTCCTCTTCTTACTGTGGCCAACCAGCATTCTTCCTCTTTTTTTTTTTAAATCCCCTTTACCTATTTCACCATCCCTACCCACCTTCCCTCCGGTAACCATGTTTGTTCTCTGTAGTTCAGAGTCTGTTTCTTGGTTTCTCTCTTTTTTCCCTTTGTATTGTTTCTTAAAATCCACATGTCCATGAAATCATATGGTATTTGTCTTTCTTTCACTGGCTTATTTCACTTAGCATGGTACCCTCTAGCTCCATTCATGTTGCAAATGGCAAGATTTTATTATTTTGCGGGGCTGAATTATATTCCATTGTGTATATATATATACCGTATCTTCTTTATCCATTCATCTATCAATGGATATCAGTGGGTTTGCTTCCATAATTTGGCTACTGTAAATAATGCTTCAATAAACATAGGGGTGCATATATCTTTTCAGATTAGTGTCTTCATATTCTTTAGGAATAGTGGAATTACTGGATCATGTGGTAATTCTATTTTTACTTTTTTGAGGAATCTCTATACTGTCTTCCACAGAGGCTGCACCAGTTTGCATTACCACCAAGAGAGCATGAGAGTACCTTTTTCTCCATACTTACCAACATTTGTTGTTTCTTGTGTGTGTGTTTTTTAATTTTTAAAGAAGTTTTAAAATTCCAGTTAGTTAATTCTTTCTTGTGTTTTTTATTTTAGCCACTCTGACAGGTGTGAGGTGATATCTCACTGTGGTTTCGATTTGCATTTCCCTGATGACTGATGTTGAGCATCTTTTCATGTGTCTGTTGGCCATCTGGATGTCTTCTTTGGAGAAATGTCTGTTCATGTCTTCTGCCCATTTTTAAAATTTGATTATTTGCTTTTTGGGTGTTGGTTTATATATTTTGGATATTGAGTCTTTATCAGGTATGTCATTTGCAAATATCTTTCCCCATTTTGTAGTTCGCCTTTTAGTCTTGTTACCTTTGCTCTGCAGAAGCTCTTTATTTTGTTTCTCCGCCAAACCATGTCTCCACACTGTCTAGCTTCCCTAATGTGGCCTCTTCTCTCCCACTAGTTGTGTAGTTTGTTCTGTCAGTACTCAGGTCTATTTTATGGGATTCAGAATGATTTGATAGTTATCTAATTGTGCTCTAGGGATGAGAGAAGTGTAGAGCCTTCCTACTATGCCCCACCATCTTAGCTCTTCAGAAGCTTTTTATTTTGATGTAACCCAATCGTTAATTTTTGCTGTTATTTCCCTTGCCCGAGGAAACGTGTCTAGAAAAATGTTGCTATGGCTAATGGCAGAGAAATTCCTGCCTGTGCTCTTCTAGAATTCTTATGGTTTTAGGTCTCAAATTTACATCCTTAATCCATTTTGAGTTTATTTTTGTGTATACTGTAAGAAAGTGGTTCAGTTTTATTCTTTTGCATGTAGCTGTCCAGTTTTCCTACCACCATTTGTTGAGGAGACTTTTTCCCATTGTATATTCTTGCCTCCTTTGTTGAAGATTAACTGACCATATAATTGTAGGTTTATTTCTGGACATTCTGTTCCATTGATCTATGTGTCTAGTCTTGTGTCATTACCACAGTGTTTTGATTACTACAGCTTTGTAGTATATCTTGAAATCTGGGATTGTGATACCTCCAGTTTTGTTTTCTTCCAAGATTTCTTTGGCTCTTCAGGGTCTTTTGTCATTCCATACAAGTTTAGGATTATTTGTTCTAGTTCTGGGAAAAATGCTATTGGTATTTTGGTAGGGATTACATTAAATGTGTAGATTGCTTTGGATTGTATGGACATTTTAACAATGTTCTTCCAATTCATAAGCATGGACTATCTTTCCATTTGTGTTGTCTTTAAGTTTTTTCATCAATGTTTTATAGTTTTCAGAGAACAGGTCTTTCACCTCCTGGGTTGTTTATTCCTAGGTATTTTATTCTTTTTGGTGTAATTGTAAATGGGATTGTTTTCTTGATTTCTCTTCCTGATACTTCATTGTTAGTGTATAGAAATGCAATGAATTTCTATATATTGATTTTGTATCCTGCAACCTTACTGAATTCATTTATCAGTTCTATTAGTTTTTTAGTGGAGTCTGTAGGGTTTTCTATATATAGTATCATGTCATCTGCAAAGATGTCATTGGCATCCTTACCAATATGGATGCCTTTTATTTCTTTTTCTTGTCTGACTGCTGTGACAGCATTCTTACTCTTGAAAGAAGAATGCTTCCTGTCACATATGGTACTGTCTTTGGATATGGGCAAGAAAAGCCCTGCCTTGAACCTCTGGTTTGAGAGGGCCCCACTCTGGCCTTCTTCTAGGTGTTCTCATCTCTACAAGATAAGTAGTCTATAGGGTCAAGAGAATTTTTCCATTAGGAGCCTCATACTTCATTTCTAAACCACCCATTAGTTACCTAGACCCCCAAACTTTACTACCTAAATAGCTCCAAGTCTATTTCCAGGGCCTAACTCAACATCTTGCTTGGTTCTATCCTCCTAAGGGTAGACTGTTCCATAGTCTGGATCAAGAATGGCCAAAGAATGTTTAGGTCTTGGATATGAGGGCTAAAGCATTCAGATGCCTGTGTGTGAGCTTGAAACATAAAGCTAGAATAGTGCTTAAGTTATCTATAACCTTAAACTTATAGTAAGAAAAAGTATAGGCAGAAATAAATCAGCTAAGCATACAACTTAAGAAAATCAGAATAAATTTGAAAGGATAAAAACAGAAAATAATGAAATAAATGCAAAAACATTACAAAAGAGAGAATAAAATCAATTGCTATTTCTTTGTAAAGACTAAACATTTTTTTTAATGTTTATTTATTTTTGAGAGTGAGAGAAAGACAGAGTGTGAGCAGGGGAGGGGTAGAGAGAGCAGGAGACACAGAATCCAAAGCAGGCTTTAGGCTCTAAGCTGTCAGCACAGATCCTGATGTGGGGCTTGAACTCAAGAACTGTGAGATCATGACCTGAGCCAAATGCTTAACAGACTGAGCCCACCCAGGTGCCCCTGTAAAGATTTAAAAAATATACATATATTTGATAAGATTGATAAAGAAAAAACAAAAGGTACAAATTAAGAATTTGAGAAATAAAAAGATGTAACTAAAATACATTAGAGATGTAAAGGTAATAAGATAATGCCAGAAACAATTTTGTTATAGTAAGTTGAAAATTTAGACAGAATATAGATTTTTGTATAAAACTATAACCTACCAAAATTGATTGAAGAATTAGAAATCCTGAATTATCTAAAATCTATGAAATAAATTGAATCAGCAAAGCTTTACCTACCAAGTAAACAAATACAACAAGCTAAGATGATTTTACTGAATTCTACCAAATCTTCAAAGAACAGATAATTACAATTCTATGTAAAATCTTCTAAAGAATTTCTTAAAGAAATAAGAGGGAACTTTCTCCAACAAATTTTTCAAGGCTAGTTTAACCTTGATACCAAAAATAGACCAGTATAGATATGAAAAATACAGATTCATTTATATAAATAGATGCATAAAGCACAAATCTGAAACTCTTAACAAATATAGTTCAGCTCTGTATACATAAACAAATCATGGTCAAGTGGGGCTTATTTCAGAAATGCAAGGATAATTTAACTTAAGAAAATCTGCTTGGGGATGAGCACTGAGTGTTATGTGGAAACTAATTTGACAATAAACTATTTGTAAAAAAAAAAGAAGAAAAGAAAATCTGCTAGTGTAACTCACCATATAAATATATAAAAGAAAAATATATAAAAATATTTAATAAATAAAAAATATATAAAATATATTTCAATATATTGAGATGTCACTTAATAAGCAATTAATAAAAAAAACTAGAGCAAGCATCATATTTCATAGTAAAACAGAACGATTCCTTGCAAAATCAGGAATGAGACAATGGATGCTTTCCATCACCACTTACTTTCTGCAATAAGTTGGAACTCCTGTCAAACACAGTAAAGAAGAACAAAGAAAAACATGACTAATGGTGGAGAAATAAAAATGTCATTAATCACAGGAAATATGGTTATCTATAGGAAATCCTGGCTGGCTCAGTCAGTGGAACATGTGACTCTTGATCTCGGGGTTGTGAGTTCAAGCCCCATGTTGGGCTTGGAGATAACTTAAAAATCTCTCTAGAGACGAATGGATCAAGAAGATGTGGTTTATCTGTACAATGGAATACTACATGGCAATGAGAAAGAATGGAATCTTGCCATCTGTAGCAACATGGATGGAACTTGAGGGTGTTATGCTGAGCGAAATAAGTCAGGCAGAAAACCATATGTTTGCACGTATAGGTGGATTAGGAGGAACTTAATGGAGGACCATGGGGGAGGAGAAAGGGAAAAATAATTGGGGAGAGGGAGGGAGGCAAACA